GTGAGAGAACAAGATAATACAATAAAGTTAGTTTTAGCTCATCTTGAATCACAAGGAACAATGATACCTAATCTACCATCTCATCCGAATCATTCTCCAACACAAGTGAGTTGTTACTGTTTCTGCAAAATGCATTTATTATATAAATTGATCATTTTCCTTAAATTTTGTAGGTATTTTTAGTGGACAAGAACATTGAATCTCATGCCACTCCTGTTACTAATACTATCATAGAGAAAACACATATCACAAATAAAGCATCGACAAATGAAACAGTTACACGAGTAAGTAATTATTTGACAAATTCATTGATTTTAATATTTTTTTGCAGTATTTTCTGATTTTAATATGATATTAAATTATTTTTTTCTAGGTAATGGAAAAGACCACCAAAATAACTGTTGAATCTAAGAGTACGACTATAAATTCACATCCAAAAACAAAAGATACTCATTCACCAAAACTCTCACAGGTATGTATTTTTATTTTGACATGAAAATATAAATTTATGTTTATTGTTTTTTTTATCTAAATATGTGCAATCATTGTAGACAATGAAGACAATGAAGTGCATTCTACAATATCCAAATAATAGAAGTAATGTTGCTTTTGGTACCGTTTACATATCTTCAGAAAGACAAATAATTCATGGAGTTCCACTTCAAGACGACTGCTATAAAGTTTCAATTGATGAAGTGATAAAGGGAGTTGCATTTTTACCATATCCAAACGGTGATATCAAATTAGTTGAGGATGCACATAAAACTTTTGTTGCATGGCCAAAATACCTTGACAAATGTGACGAAAAGGTTTATTTCTTCTATTAACTTCTTTATGCATTATTTTTTTTTTCCTTTTTAAATTAGTCTTTTAAATTAATAGTTGTTCAAATTTCTTTCAATGTTTTTTCAGGTACCACGAATGGGATCAACTCAAGATGATGAACATAAAAGCTCCAAGAAACAAAGAAAAAGTTTAACTCAAGATGATGAACATAAAAGCTCCACGAAGCAAAAAAAAAAAATTAACGACAGATAGCATTGGCAAGCATCAAGGAGCACTTTCAACAAGATTAAAGAAATCTAGTTTTTCGTTAATTATGACTGTTTATTCCTTTCTTTAACAATTTTAATAAACATGATTTGATTACAAGGATTTTTACCATTTAACTAGTGAAATTATGAATGAAAAATTTTATTTGAATTATTATTAATATTGATATTTTCTGTCGTTTATATGTCCATTTACGGTTATGTTTATTTAACATTGTTTTTTTTTATTCCATGTGTCTAATAATTTTATCATCATGTTTTATTTTATTGTCACTAAAATGTATATAATGGTTACTTCACAACAAATGTGTCGTGTGACTAAACGGCTAACAATAGTCATGATAGAAACTCAATATGCGTCTGCAAGTGTTTTACAGTCATTTTTTATTAAACATGTGTGACTAGAAGTAAAACAAATACAACCTTGAAAATTTGTGTGTCGGAAAAGATACATATGTCACTTTATTTAATAATCATATGACTAATAGTTTATGTATTGTTATATTTAAACAATACTTGTGAGTCAAAATCTTAAAAAAAACAACATGATAAGATAAAACTAATGTGACAATAGGGTAAATATAGTCATGGTAAATGAAATTGTGTGTCGATACAACACTAATGGTTACAATTGCATTGGTTTGCGATATCTAAATTATGAGCAATAGCCACATTGAAAACTATAGGTGTGTCTAAAGGATAAAAAATGTTATGGTTATCAAAATTTTGTGTGACTAAATACTAAACAATAAGGACGATAAACATTAGTTGTGTGTCTACAATGATTTTATAGTCATGTTTTAATTTAATATATGTGACAAAAAACTAAATAATATTATTAATGTAGATAATTGTGTGTCAAAATCATAACATCTGTCACTTATTTCTACCTTCATGTAATTGTATGTTCGACAATAGTCACATTTGTAAAAACATTATATAACTACATGATATTTACAACTATGGTTTAAGTATGTATGTGTGACTACAATAAAAACAATAGTAAGAATCTGGAATTTTTTAATGTTTAAATGATAAAATCGGTCACACTTAAAACAAATTGTTATGTTCATAAGGTGAACATTGGCCACTATTATATATACTTTTGTTTCTATAAATCACTTACAGTTATGTTTAATTGATTTCCTATGTCGAAAAGATAAAAAATAACCACACTTACTACGTTTTATGTGTTTAAATGATAGCAACAGTCATGCTAAATTATATGTATGTGACTGTAAGTTATAAGATAATCATAGTAAAAAATATAGTATGTGTCTTTAAAATACTTTTGGTCATTAAAATCATAAATTCATGTGACCATTTTGGGAGCATTGTGATGAGTTGATTAATTATGTGTGTCTAAAAGATTGTTAATAGTCATACCGAATAATTTTTTGTGTGACAATTTATTAGCAAAACGTAATGGTGATAATAAATTCAAGTGACCATTTGATGAACATGGTCATGTTATGCTTAATTTTGTGTCTCTAAACGATAGTCTATAGTCATAATAAAATTTTTTTGTGTGACCAATTAATAGCAATACGCCACACTAAAAATAATTTCACGTAACCATTACATGAAAGATAGTCACTAAAATAAAAAAAATGTGTGTCTAAAAAGTGTTTACGACCACAATATTGGATAAAATGATAGTGTACAACAACAAAAATCTCTACCGTATAGCCACAATTTTATGCTATGGTCACAGGTTTTCATATGTTACAACCACTAAATTTAAAAGTGGATGTATGGTGCCTAAAATGGCACGTCCTTCGGTGACACTTCCGATGAAAAAAAAAGGTGTGACTATAGGCATATGGTCACAGTTTTTTGGTGTAACCATAGCCCATTTTTGTACTAGTGCGTTTACCATTCCATAATGGGCCTACCCAAACTTGGCCCAATAACAAAATATTGACCTCAAGTCCCATAAGGCCCAAATCATGCAACTTAGGTCCACTAATAAATTTTGAGGCCAACCTAAAATAAAGAAGCTAAGGCTCAACACCTAACTAAGGCCCAAATGACCAAAACCGAACCGATATTCAAAAGGCTACTAAGAGGTATACGCTTGGTGTACACATTGTACGATTGGCGTATACAACCGATCACCGGTACGCCCAACGTACTGGGCTGCTTGCCACCCTAAGCCATTTAGTGCTTAATCTAGTCAACAATTGGGTCCAACTTTTAGATCTCAACCATCTTATGGTTCTAATACATAAGGTTGGAAACCTTAACCCCTAACATGTCTTAATGGAACCCAACATCCATTTTTATCCATCAATGATCATATTAAGAACTCAAATTCATGCATGGTCTCATATCAACCATCAGGATGACATTTTTATACAACATGAGCAACAAAGAGATTGAGATATAACATATTCAACTCCTGAAGTTACACAAACTCACCAGGAGAATCTATGGGACCACAAAAAAGCTCTTAAACAACCCTAAAATCAAACTATCTAGAAGCTCAACCTCAACAAATGCTTGGTCTCCAAGTTCCTTCCAATTGAATACATACAAAAATGCCACAAAAACCAATTCAAAGCTCCAGAACACTCAAAGGATGAACTTGGGTTTCAATTGGACGAAATGAAAAATCGGGGATGATAAGGTTAGTTGTCCAAAGGCCATACGGATATTTAAATAGGGCTCATACCCAAAAATTAGGGTTTTCATCTCACTGGAGTACGCCCCGTGTACTCTTAGTACCCACTGTGCTCCATAAGTTTCCCGCACTTCTTCTGCCTAGTACGCCCAACGTGCTCTTTTATACGCCCACTGTACTAGGCTTAGCTCTTAAACCACCAAACTTCTGGAGGCCATGACTTCTTCATTCTATGTCCGATTTTGACGTTCTTAATATCCACGGAAAGGTAATAAGGAGCTATACAGTTATATAAACTTACCCTTGCCTCAAAGCTTTTCGAATTACAAATCCAAATTTTATAAAGGCCCAATCTGACACATTACCGATATACCCTCAGGCTCCAAAACACAAAGCGAACTTTCAGATCACCAAATCTATAATACCCACATCCAAAAAGGGTCTAATTCTCTCTTTCCTCAAGGCCCGAAGCCTTATGATAACTGATCTTTGGGTCACGGCCCCGGATAATGAAATGATTTCAAGCCTAGTGTTACAGATTGTTCTTTCGCGAAAACTAGTGGATTTTCAAATGGTGTGGTGTTACACTTAACATTTTTTTGTAAATTCAAGGATTTTTTGGAGTTTGCAGCTAAGTGGATTGATTGCCCCAAAGAAGAAACAAAATCATGCTGGAATGGGCTACATAAATCATTGGTGTATTTGGAAAGCGAGGAATGCGAGTATATTCAATAATTCTAGGATTTTTCCTACAAAAGTGGTTGACTAGGTAAAATCAATGACGTCTTTATGATTAAAGCACCCTAGCACCCAAGGAGTGTGTAATCGGATTGAGTGGAATGCATGTCCAATTCTTTGTTATTGAGGTGTTACTGATGTTTGTTTGGGATTATCGCTTTTTTTCATTACTTTAGTTTGTATTCATTTCTTCCTAGTTTAGCTCCTTGGCAGTTGGAAGTCTTTTCTTTTATTTATATATATTTGCTGGTTCCAAAAAAATTACTTAGGACGTGTAGACACCAAAAAATAAGCATCTAAATCAGGTAAAACTAAGTCTTATGTAGACACCAAAAAATAAGCATCTAAAATCTGGTAAAACATGTCTTATATGAGGTCATTATAATACATATGCATGATACATAACAAACTTTATAACTGATAATGTCTTATATGTGGTCACAATGATAGATTTAATTTGGCCAAGCTTAATTAGTAACTAGTGAACAATAATATGAGAAAAGTAAAAATTAGTTTTTGATATACAGAATTTAAGATCCAAAAGCCCAAACTTGGTCGGCAATGGAAAGTCATAGCTATGCCCTACAATTAAAAGTGAGCTCCATCGAAGGCGTTGAAGGTTCAATTAATATTAAATCCAACTTCCAACCAACGAATCCATTCACACACACATAGGCATGGACAAGAATTGCTATAAATACCTTTGACGTACAAAGTTTCTTGCACCAACTACATTTTCAATCACATATAAGTTTCCTACGACTTTTGTGCTTGTAAACTTGAAAAATGGCAAGGATGGCAATGATGGTCTTATGTGTAGTAGTGACTTCCATGGTGGTGGCCGCACCCTATGCAGAGGCTGCTATTACCTGTGCTCAGGTGGTAAGTAGCTTATCTCCATGCCTTAGCTACCTAAAAAATGGTGGTGCTGTGCCATCGGCATGTTGCAATGGGGTTAAATCACTCAATAGCGCTGCAAGAACAACTCCTGATCGTCAGACTGCTTGTCGCTGTTTAAAGAGTGCTTCTGGTGGCGTCAATCCTGGCAACGCTGCTAGCCTCCCCGGCAAGTGTGGTGTCAGCATCCCTTACAAGATCAGTCCTAGCACTGATTGTTCCAAGTATGTTCAAACATATATATATATATATATATATATATATATATATATATATATATATATATATATATATATATATATATATATATATATATATATATATATATATATATATATATATATATATATATATGCTTATATGTTTTTATCAGTTACAAATTTACATAGACATCTATTTGGATTAAATATTGCATGAACACACATTAGTTGTATTGATTTTGCTTGGCGTTTGTCATTTTTGCAGGGTTCAGTAAGGTGATTCTAATGGATGTTCCGAAGATTAGAAGCATATATAAATTACAATAAATAGCGAGAGCACTATTTTGATTGAAAAAGACATATATTACCGCATATGGTTATGCATGATTTGTACGGCCTTTTGACTGGTGCCTATGCATGTAATATTTGTATGTCATCGTCTTATTTATGTCCCTTCCTCTACTTACTTGTAATATATCAGTATTGTCTTTTTCTTAATAACTGCAAAGGTTTATTAATTTACACGTGCTAAGCTTTAAGCGAAATACTTTTTGGACACAGAGAGGACCGGTTTGAGGCTGCACCTTTAATCATCCAACTTATTTGAGGTCCAGAAAAATATAAAAATGCGCGTCTTAAGCACAGAGTCATCTTAGAAAGAGAATCACATCAATTTTCTCAATTCTATCTCTTCTATTACAGTGGATGTAGGTCATCTTGACCATCTTGACCGAACCACGTAAATAGTGTGTGTTGTGTATTTATAGTTTTACTTGTCAGCAGCTTTACTCCTAACATATAATATTAATTAAATTCCAAGGAAAAACAAAATAAAATAAAGGGAGGGGGTGGGGTGTGAGAAAAAAATTGTACTCATTTTCATTAACTAAACAAAGTTATGACTTGAGTAGTATTGTTGATTCAACTATAGATAGGAAGAATCTGCAAATTAGAAATTCACTAAGTATATATAGGCCTGAAAATGAATGACGTAACAAGTAAGAATAAAAGAGAAAGGACTAGATGCCATATAAAACAACAAAAAGTTGATGTTATTAAATCATACCAAAAGTGCAAGGATCAAGTAAACTGCTAAATCATGGTTTATGATAACTACGGCATATCAAACGATGATGTATTTAGATACTAACAAAGAGAATATGTATCATAGAGACAGTAAGTGGCAACTATATATGTAAATCCAAGAATACATAGAAGAGTGTGTGGATTTAGATAGATTTAGAAAACAAAAAAAAATGTTGATCTTAAATAAAATGAATGAGGCATGAGAAGTAAGATCAAAAGAGATAAAAAAAAAAGAGACATTACCTTGAGGAAGAAGAGTGAAGGTAATAGACTCTTGAAGATGGAAAAGCAAGATATGCACCAATAAGTATAATGCTCAGAGGAAAGATATGATCAAAGGATCAACAATAAGTAACCTAAGCATGGTATGTGAAAGTGAATGAATGATCAACAAAAAAGAATACTAAAAGAGTGTGATGCTCACCCAATATGATTGCAATAAGAAGTGGTATTCATAAAGAAAAAGTGATAGACCAATACTAGGGGAACCTGAGCATAGGAAGGTATGTATAAACTAATGAACACACGAGTCATCAACGAAGGAAAGACAATATTATCGCATGAGGTTATTTGAAGAAGAAAGAGGGATATGACTTACCGGTTGATGTCTTGTTGAATCAATGAACAACACAAAGATAGAGGTGCACACATTGACAATGACACTTGAAATTTTTTTAAAATCTATGTTATGTCAAGAGAAGCAAAAAAACGGTATGTATGCCATGAGCATCATTGAGGAAAAGAAAGAGAATGAATAGTTACCTAAATTGATCAAGGAATGTGATACTCAACAAAGAATGATGATGAAACCTTTGATGGTTTTGACTAAGCATAGAGTTATCAACAAAAAGGTTATGATGTACACATAATAATTAAGTATTGTACATACAACACATGATGTTGCTCAACAAAAAAAAAACTTGACAACTAGGGTTTCATACCAAGATGATGATGCTTACCTAGACTTTGGAGATGGTCCACGAGAGAGTGTGCTACAATGATGATGCTCCAACACAAAAAATTAGTGATGCTCTACATAAGAGACTAGGGCTTGATATAGAAAATTCGATCACTAGGGTTTTGAAAAAAAGAAAAATCGATTAAAAAATCATAATGCTCACCTTGGGATTGTGAATGTCACAATTAGGGTTTGAGACCAAGTGATGTTGCTTCAACTGTTGATGGCACAAGAGAAAGTTAACCTCGTTTTTTTGCTTGACGATCATGATAGAAGAAGAGTTGGCACAACTGTGTTCTTAATTATGGAGATATGCAAAAAGGATGTTGCGCCAAGAGGTATTGTTGTATACTTTAATGTTGCACCAAAGACTTTGTAGAGTATCTCGGATAGAGTGGGATGCAACAGATAGGTGGAGCAAGAGGGAGTGTGGCACAATAGTTATAATTACACCAAGAGTGTCAAACAAGATCAAGTTGCACGAAACTAAGATTTAGTTAGAGTAACTTATGGTAGAACTGAGAGTATGGCAAAAGAAAGATTTTGGTGATGACGCAACATGAGATTGGATGAGTAGAAGTTGTGCCAATAGTTTCATCTTAGATGCACTAATATTTTGATGTTGTTTAAGTTGTGCCAAGACAAGAGAATGGGTGATGTTGCATTTCTACAAGGGATCGTGATGGCGCAAGTTAGGTTGGATCAAGATGATGTTTTCCAAAGGTAGGATTGATGAAGAAGGTGCGCCAAAGGTATGTTGCGAAAAAAAATCAATGTTGGCTGTGGATCAGAATGGACATGAGAAAATGAAGCAAGGGCTCACGATTTGAGACTTTTATAAGGTATTTTTTAGCTAGGGTAGAGTGAGGAGCAAGATATGAGGTTTGGGTGTGGTACAATTATAAATTCTTGGAGTATGTCGCAAGTAGAGAAGGGTATCGTGGGTTGAATGTGGAGTAAGGGAGGCATTTTCGGCTAGAGTGTTGCGCCAAAAAAATGTGTGCCTTGGGTTCAAAGTATCGAATAACACAATAAGGGAGAGATGGAGAAATTAGGAGAAGAAGTGTGTGGCCCAAAAGATTGTGTGGTGCAAGTGGGTGTGTGGCCCAAGATGGTTTGTGGCGCAAGAGGGTATAAGGCACTAGAAGGTGAGTGGTCAAGAAGGAGTAGGTGAGGGGAGAGGGCGAAGTTGTGCCAAGCAGGTGTTTCGCCAAGAGAATATGCAAAGAGAGGAGAGTTAGGCCGAGTTTGTGCCAAGGGATTTACGAGGGGGAGTTAGACCAATAAGAGTTTGCACCGAGAAGATCTTGCAAAGTGAAGGAGATGCTCAAAGCGGCCTACGAATGGGAGTTGGACCAAGAGTAGTTGCGCCAAGGAACTTTCAAGGGGGGTGGGGGGACCATAACCGAAGGTGCGCCAGGGTTCTTCTGTGAGGTGTTGATCATGCACCAAGACCAAAGATTCCCCAAAAAATTGATGTTGATCCAATAACAAAAAGTCTCGATTTTGCTTCAAAGGGGGTACTTGGTCACAAAGTTGCTCCAAGGTTCAATGTAGGTTCCAAAGTTGCTCCAAATGGAATTGTGTCTAGAAGATGTTCCAAATGGGTGTGAGAGCAACAATCTATGAGAGAGTTAGAAAACAAGAATGAGAAATAAAAGTGGAGTATTTATAGGTGGAGGTTTCTAGGATTTATCAACGGGCCGTAGTAGGGCTTGCATGGGCCATCTTGTGGGCTCAGAAGGTTTGAATAACACCCTAGTATAAATAGGATGATATCAATATTGAGAAACAAGCGAGATAATGATGACTTGAGAATCAAGAAAGAAAAGATGGTACATGCATGGATGATCAACATAAAGACGAGCTTGACACCTAAGGAATATGCATGGACTACTCAAGACGTACATGGCCTACTTGAAACTTGCATGGCTTACTTAATACGGGCATGACTCATTAAAACGTACATGGCATATTTGAAGCAAATGTTGGATAAGGTGTCTAAGTCCATAACTATATTTGGTATGTACTTGACCCGATTTGGCATTGTCCATTTGGGTTGCACTTCACCGGAACAATTTGGACTTTGAGAAGAGGATATGTATGATTTATTAATATATTATTAGTTATACTATATTAATATGAAATCATATTATTTAATTAGTATTGATCAATAATTGATTTGGAATTAAATTTGTGGTCAAAAGAGACTAATTAAATATATAGGGATTGATTGTGTAAATCATTCATTCTCATAAAGTGGGTTAGTGATCCATAATTCTTTATCATGGGCTTAACCCATGTGGTGACCCATGGGTGCTCCATGGAGGTTAAAACCCATGGATCATGAGGGATGTGGAAAGTCATGTGTTACATGGTGTAACCCTAATGTGCACGCTATATAAGAAGCCCTTTGGTTCAAGAAAAAAGCACCCTAGTGAGTTATCAAGGAAAGGCCGATTTTGTGAGGTAGAGAGTTCTCTTCCAAAGTTTGCAAGTGTTGGTGGTTATTTGTGATTCCACTTGAGGCATTCATATTATTGGTGCTAGGCTCTTAAAACTCCAAGTAATCAACCAAAACAAAAGGTATGTTTCCTAACTAGTTTTATTCACTATGTATCAAAGTTTTATATGCTAGTTAGCTTAATACCTTGGAAACTTCAAGTTTGCATGTATAATAGTGAAAACATAGATCCAAGGTATTTAGGGTTGCATGAACACCTTAGGAGTGTTAGTATGCTCAAAACCCATTAGTGCTATCAGAGACTAGGCTTGCTTTCAATTATACTTTAGGCTACTTGTTTTAAGTTGGAAAAATTGAGTTTTTTTGCCTCCTTACTGGTGAACTCGCCGATTCCACTGCTGGACTCGACGACTCCATGTACAAATTGAGCTACTAGACGAGTCCAATTCATGGACTCACCGAGTTAGTTGTGCTGAGTGCAGTAAAACGATTTTTTTCCCCAAATTGATATAATCATTATCCCAGATTGTTTGAATCATAAAAATATGTTTTTTAATATGTGGTAATGATCATGTTAATCCATTTGTAAGGTGATTGTCACAATTTCATGTTTTGTTTTTGTTTATATGATTAGTCCAAATTACATGGAATTTGTTTGACTTGAATTGCCTTGATCAGATGAGTTTGATCTAGAACTTGAACATTCTTGTTAGTTGAATTGTCGTTCTTGATGATTTTAATGGACTCCATAACTTGTCCTCAAGTTATGGAATTCTAAAAGTTTTTCCATTTAAATGAATCATTAAAAAATCATAGGTTATAGAAAAATGAAGAGTCTCATTTTAAAAGACCATTAAACTCATATGTTATGAAGTTGAAAAGTTTTGAAGAGTTTCAAAATTTTCCCTGAAGTTTTGGAATTCGTAAAGTCACACATTAAAAATTTATTCCAAACCCTAGAATTTTAAAATTTAAAAATTCAACCCTTATACAATTATAATATTATAAGTTTAATTATATATATATATATATATATATATATATATATATATATATATATATATATATATATATATATATATATATATATATATATATATATATATATATAAGAACGAGTCAGTGTTACCGTTAGTAAGCCTCATTCACGAAGCCGGTTTATAAGGGGGTATAAGCTTGTTGCCTATAAAATGGCAGCTTAATGGGTGTCCACTCTCACTCACTGCTTCCTTGACTGGTGGAGGGTTGTTAGCAAAATAGGTAGGACAAAAACTATAATTCTTATTAAATGTATAAAGATAAATATAAAGTAACTAAATGTTTTATAAA